TTTGCAAAGCTGGCACATGTAAACTGAAATGGACCACAATTCCAGACACCTTTGAGTGCCTCTAAAATGACGGCTTTTTTCAGGCCAAATTAAGAGGTCACTCCAGTCATGTAGGCTAATCATTCCGGCAAACCTGTGAGTAACAAAAAGACAGATGGGTAGTCTAGAGTTGAAAAAAAATATGGACTGTACCTAGATGGTAAGATTTCAAACACAAAGAATTGTTCATTTCCATTGGATTTAATAGCACTGTTCATTGGGGTTTGACATCAGCCAACTTGATTTTTTAAAATTTGACTCTAATTTGACTAGCTTCTGATAGCCCACCTTTGAAATAGTATGTCCAGAAATGTTTGCTTAAATTCCTTTAAAGACGTTATAACGACATTTCTGTTCCCTGGTTGATGCTTGTAAGGATCTTTATGAGTAATTCCTTAACTGAGCTCAGTGAAGTTAAGCATCTGCCTAATTTTTTTACAGGATCATGGCCAATTGACTGTTTAGGGGAAACGGTGAAATTGACTATGTACAAAATAAATACACTGAAAACACAGAGAAAATTTTTTTAAACTTTGTTCAGTGATAATAACCTTGTAAGAATAGTGGGTCCAAAATCTTCAGAGAAAAGTAAGATTGTTTTCAAGTTAACAGCAGCCCTCTAAATAATGACATTTATTTATGTACAGCATCCTCCATAAACTTAAGCGCTATGAAACAGAGAGGAACTTCCTTAGGAGTTGCTAGTAGCCTGAGACGGGAGGATAGAGCACCTTTAGCTTGCAAAGATTAAAAGTGCAAATCAACATACATTTTGTGCGTTGTTACTTGTTAACTGAACGCAGGTCACCCTCTGGTGGTTTAAAAGGAAAAGTACAGGAATTCCATTATTTATCATCAACAAATTCAGATGAAGAATAAATACGACTTATGTTTCTTATTTTCTGAGAGCTCGATGGGTCTCAGGATAGTGATGGAGGATCCAGCAGCTTAGCACCTGAGTCGCCGGTTCAAATCTCACCCAGGGTAGCAGTGCAGGGAAGTTATTAGAGTCTGAAAAATGCTCAGTGGTTTAGTAATGATTCTCAGGCCAAATTCTTGCAGGACAGATGTCCACATGGCAGACACCTGCACCATGACTGCACCACACCCTTGCCACCACTCCAGCACAGACACCAAAGGTTATCTGGGCCATGGAGACAATTACCCCCTCGTCCTTAGAAGTGGTTAATCCACAGCAGATCTGAAGCTACATTCCTCTTGGTTTTAGCATGACAGGGTTGGTAGCAATCCCTACATTTAGGATGCCTAACACTTTCTGGTATAAATTATTCTTGTGGCTGTTTTTTTGAGAAGCTCCCATGCCTCCCTTGTTTGCAGTAGGCCTTTGATATGTGGGGAGGGGAAAACCCCTCAGACTGGAGAAGGGCCTTTCCTCCCCCACTCCAGGAAATTCCATTCAGGTTTTGCTGAGACGTTCACTTTTTAAAATCACCATTTCCATGCTCTTGCTTGCATTCCTTTACGCCCAAGACAAGAGGCTAGGGTGGTCTGTGGGAGTGGTCACCAGGGTCAGGGACAGTCTAAGCCAGGGTCACATGGCGTCAGAATCAGCAACAGAACCCAAGTGTCCCCACTGCCAACTCCCTTCCTTGCCTAGATTGAGCTACCTCCCTGTGCTGCCCAGTCATCATCCAAATGCATTTGCTGTGTTGTACATTGGGTTCTTCTTTCGGCAAAAGGCCGGTGGTGAGGGGTTGTTTTGTTGCTGGTGAAAAGGAGATAAAACAGGATGAGAAGGGGACGGGAATTCTAAAAGCTGCAAATTAAGTTTATACCCAGGAAATTTATGTCACCTCTTCTGCTCTGATAGAATAATACCAAAACGCTGGACATCTACAGCATCTTTCACTTCAGGAGCTCAGACATCTGAGACGCCTGATGGGCTTCCTGCAGAAAACAGCTGTCTGCCTCCTGTTCCTGTTTGTTTTTTCAAGTGCCTCCAACAGCAGTAAGTCACCTCATTTTACTGCGTTTGCCTCTCATCACACAATAATATGTTTTTTATGCTCCAAGGAGAAAGCTGAACTGTTAACAATTAAAACCAGCAACCCAATGAGCTGGGGCGAGGGCAAGGAGGAAACCAAGTTAGGCTACTTAGAAAGAACTAAAGCTAGAGTCTTTCGCAGAGAGGGATCAGCAGCCTGGCAAGAAGAGACATTACAGTACTGATAGTCTAAAGGGATACTGCAAACCACAGCATCGCCTCTTCCCTCTAGCTCCACCCCCACCACAACCAGTGTGGTTTGGAATCAGCCAGCAGGTCGGTTTTAGAGCACTCGCTATATCCCATTTGTCTCCTGTAAGCTCTGCAGAGTGACACGCAGCTCAGAAAGAACAAGAGTACTTGTGGCACCTTAGAGACTAACAAATTTATTAGAGCATAAGCTTTCGTGGGCTACAGCCCACTTCTTCGGATGCATGTAGAATGGAACATATATTGAGGGGATAAATGTACACACATACAGAGAGCATGAACAGGTGGGAGTTGTCTTACCAACTCTGAGAGGCCAATTAAGTAAGAGAAAAAAAACAACTTTTGAAGTGATAATCAAGATAGCCCAGTACAGACAGTTTGATAAGAAGTGTGAGAATACTTACAAGGGGAGATAGATTCAATGTTTGTAATGGCTCAGCCATTCCCAGTCCTTATTCAATCCTAAATTGATTGTATCTAGTTTGCATATCAATTCCAGCTCAGCAGTCTCTCGTTGAAGTCTGTTTTTGAAGTTTTTCTGTTGTAAAATAGCCACCCGCAGGTCTGTCATTGAATGACCAGACAGGTTAAAGTGTTCTCCATACCATCAGGGGCTCGTTCACCTGCACATCTACCAATGTGATATATGCCATCATGTGCCAGCAATGCCCCTCTGCCATGTACATTGGCCAAACTGGACAGTATCGACGCAAAAGAATTAATAGACAAAAACACCAG